TTTCATTTGGTTAATTTATTATTATCATCCCTTTTAACAGCTAAATTCATATCAAGTGATGGATTATTTACAAAGACAGTCAATGTGAATGACTCCGGAGTGATGGTAAGCATGACTAGTCGTTATAGTCCTGATGCGAGTGACAATGCCATCACTTGGATGAAAGATGGAAGTGAGGTTCTTACATCGTTTGGTGGGCAGACTCAGATCAGCTTCTCAAACCCAATCCAGACATCAGACCAAGGAATCTATGAGATCTACTATAATTACGAGAGGAGTCAAAATAGAGGAGGAATATACAGACTCATCGTCAGAGGTATTTGTATAAGTGTTTTCCTGCCTAATTAATATTAATTAATTAATATTAAAATTAGTCATTTGTTCCCCAAGATAGTTTTGTTTGTTACGATGATGTTAAAAGTATTGCTTCATAGTTTGCCGAGAAATCTTCATTTTAGATTCATAGATTATGCAAGGTACATATGGATGTTGATCTTTAAATGGTCATTTATAAATCATTATTAATAAAAAAAAATGGATGTGAATTACACTTCTCAAAAATGTTAGTTTAGAGCATTCAGGTAGAAAATGTTCAAGTCTGATTTTATGAAATGGCACCTTATCGTATGATGGACAGCTCTTTCCCCATTACAAATTTTATTTCAAAAGATTTATGAAAATTAAAACTCCTTTGTTTTAAGCCTACTTATCTTCTATAACTTCTCAACTTTGTTATGATGTAATCTCTAGTGACAGGTATTTTACTTAATTTTTTGTCTCTCTCCCCGCTTTCTCATATTAGAATGCCATGCTGGTAAGTGGGGTCCCCCTGAGTGTTATGGTATCTGTGATTATTGCTACAATGGTGGAGTCTGTGATGACAAGTCTGGTCTATGTATCTGTCCTAACAACTTCAAGGGAACGAATTGTTTAGACAGTAAGTATAGGCCTGTAGAACTTCACGTAGAATGATATTTATGTTTATCTGTTAATAGATGAATTGAGGAAGATATTTCATGTCCTATTCCATTGAAAATGAACAGAGCTATGTACATCTATTTTACATGCACATTTCAAATATGTTGATTCCAGGAGAGCAATCATACTTGAAATTTATCTTAATAAATCTTATTTCTTATGCAAGTCTAAAAAGTTTTAATTTAACAATGGAATTTTTTTTCTTCTTCAGTTTGTAGAACCGATGGTGGAAATCAATTTGGATTGAATTGCGAGTTTATATGTTCATCCAGTGGTGCAGCAAACAGCTGTCATGGGAATCTTTTTTGCCTACCTGATCCTTATGGATGTTCATGTGACGTCGGTGCCTATGGTCTTGCATGTACCACACGTAAGTCATCTGATAGTCATTTAATTGTCTTCAAATTATAATAGTGAAAACATATACATGTAGGCCATTTATAGCACATACCATAAGGTGACTGGATTCATGGGTGAGGTCAGGGGCAACTTAGTGAACACAAGAAGGAGGAGAAGAAGAAAGAGGAGGAGGAGGAGAAGAACAAAAAGGAAGAAGGAAACGTACAAGAAGGAGGAGGAGAAGAAGAAGATAAATGAAGAAGAAGTTATTGTAACATGCACAATATTTTTCTTCCTGACGAATGCATTGTATGCGTCCATCTTGATTTTGTATTTTGAATTCCTTTACAGTATGTACTATAGGTTCATATGGTCCAGGATGTTCACAGACATGTCACTGTGGTTCATCATGTGATATTTACAGTGGAATATGTACAAGCGGATGTCAGACTGGCTGGTCTGGGGACAACTGTCAAAGTAAGTCATAGCCATGATAACAAGATAATATGACATAAATGCTATCCCCTAATAAGATAAATCATAATTTTTACATGTACTTTTTAGCTTTGTAATAAACTTCCTGTTATTTTTTGCTACTGCAACCCTACTGGAACTCGATCAGTAGTTAAAGTTTTCATTTGAAGTTATTATATTTATTGTTGTAGAAATATTCAGATCAAGCTGTGTTTTGGGGACAACTCCTCCAATGTATTCCATTTTCATTATGTTCATGGATGACAAGAATGCCTTCTACAAATACATAAACTTATTAGTGAAGGCACGGTTAAATTTAGGATTATGTGCCATTATTGAAGTTGGTATATAGTGCTCGGAAACAATTCAAACTAGTATACAAGGATAAGAATTTTAAAATCACTAGTTTCAAGGAAAAGAATTTTGGAATGTTAACAACCATATTTGTGTGGACTCCACCTAATATTTTTTGCTGGTGCTTGTTAAATTGTGATTTCAAAAGTATTTTCTTGTCATCCTCAGTTCCAGTTGAATTTGAAGGCGGTTACTATGGATCTCAATGCACTTATAAATGCCATTGCTTGAATGATGAACCATGTGATAAAGATACTGGAGAGTGCTCTGAGCAGAAGTGTGCTCTAGGATACAAAGTACGCAGTGGCCAGGTCATATGTAAAGGTAAGATTCTACTTTTCAATAACGGGTGTTGAATTTTGCATATCGATTCCTATTTATTTATCTCCAATCTACATACAACATGCACATACATGAATGGTACAGAGTGCTAATTGACACACCGGTATTATGTTTGTATGTACCATGTATGAACGCTCATAAATCCATGTACATGTATGCACATTGGTCATATCAACCAGATATTATGTACATGATGCAGAGATAGTTAAAAATACATTGTTATAATGTATACTCTGGAGGGGGATTCTAGAAGACAAATATTGACTTATTTGAAGGGCATGGTTACTATGGTGAGTATTCGTCCAACGTGATGTTATAACTATACTATGCCCCGAGACAAAAGCGAGGGGCATAGTGCAATCTCGAGAACACAGAGGAGCTACATGTTCATGTATTATAATTTGAATAGTGAGGTAAAAAATTATCCGTAAATATTTGTTTAATGTATCGTATTCATTGTTTGGATTCACCCAAAGTATTCCATTTCAAGTGTTTTCATTGATGGAAGGAAAGTTTAACAATCTGAAAAAGGGTGTGTGCATACTACTTGTTCCATTGTTAACTTCATGCGTACAAGTAGACCCTAGCCAAAGTTATCTTCGCCTTTAGTATTCAATAATAATCATTGACCTGATGTCTCCAATATAAACATGCATTGTGTTTTATTTTTCAGAGTGTGAAGGGGGAACCTTTGGTTTGGATTGTCTTCAGCAATGTCACTGTGTTGCAGAGGCTTGCGAGACGGAGAGAGGTCATTGTAATGGACAATGCCTTGATAGCTGGATTGGACCGTACTGTCAAAGTAATTATACCCAGCATATATTTTATTCTGTTTTGTTCCCTTGTTCAGCCATTATTAATATGATTATTATTCTTGTTTGTTGCAGAAATTTGAGCAAAGTTCAAAAATACGTTTTACTGTTTGTTATGTATAAAGTCCAATTTATATTTTAATGAAGTTTCTCCTTCACCTTACACACAGTAAGCGGAAGTTAAATGTAACCCCCCCCCCCACCCCCACCCCTCCAAAAGAATATCAGTTATTCGTTAATCTTTTTACGGTCAACCCTGTCTATAACGATCGCCAAAGGGAAACACACAAAAATAGTTGTTGTAGAAAGGTGGTCTTTTTAGACAGGTCGGCGTAATTGGCCACCTTTTTAGCCAATCAATTAATCCAATAACTCATGTTTCTTTGTTGGTGTTTAAAAATGGTCAAAATAAAAATACAAAATGATTTAACATTCTTTTTTTCTTTTTTTTTTGTTTCTTTTTTTTTGGGGGGGGGGGGGAATTGTCCAGGATTTTTGAATTTGTAGGCATATTAAAAAAATATTTAAAAGAAATTAATGTACGCCCACTCACCAGGCCTCTCGCAGACCGGCCAGTGCGCGAACAAGCGAACTTCATGACAATGACGCTGTGCAGTGCGTCCCAGAAAAAACGAAACCGAGAATTATCGATGTTTTATCATAACTTAATCACATTTATAATTAATAAATGACACATATTTGGAAAGCTTAGATCCTCTTCTTTCATTTGATGCAACTCATATGATGCATATTTCACGCATAAGTGATTAAAATCAATTTGAAGAGAGGAAACCGAAAAGTCGTTTGGCGGGCGGTATCTGAATTTTAAAGAGAAAATCACATTTCTAGAAAGTTGGGTTTCTGCCCTTTCATATGACACCTCAATCAGGAAAAATTCATTTACATCACCAGGGTTGAGTGTGGTAAATGTATGTAGATCAATGTCTTGCCAAAGGACATCAGTGCCGCGACGGGACTCGAATCGCGAACCTTGCGATCGACAGTCCGGCGACGTATCCACTCGACCACGACACCTGCATGTACATGTACAAGTCTATTTGTGGTATTTTTTTTATGATCTTGCCTATATAGTTCTGGATCTAAATACTGATAAAATGAAGTGACTGACTAGCAATCTTCTATTGGTGCAGACATGTTTATTTGTATTGAATGTTTTCTATTTTTGCTTTGTTTTTGACAGGAATATCAATATTATAAGTAATTGTTGTTTTTTTTCGAATACAAACGAATCCATTCTTTATTTATGAATATCAGGATTGGTCAAGGTCCTATAAAGTGCACGTAGGATTTGTTCCCCTTACACTTTAATGTTAGTTATTATTACATAAAGCAAACCGATTCTGTGTTTCAAATTGTGTGTATTATTTAATGTTCTTCTTTCTTATTTTTTCGTCTTGGTTCTTGATAGGAATATCCAGATTGGTTCCAGTGAGAGTGAACCCATACCAACCATCTAGCTTCACATGTTATGTTGAGGGTATCCCACTTCCCGATGCATCCTCAGTTGATCTTCATCGACGTACTGGAAGTACGTATAACAGGACAGGAATCACCAGGAGATCTAGCGCTGTCTTAGGGTCAGAAAGAGCTGTTGTCTTTGATGTTGATAGTGTGTATCCACAGGAAGATGATGGGGAATATGAGTGCAGTCTTATTGTTGAAAGTATAGGCTATTCCAGTATGCCTATTACCAATCCAACCTATGGTGAGCAAACTGTGTGACATCGCTTTAATCAAATGTAATTCTGTGAGATACCTGTTTAATAGAAAGTATGAATTTACTTTTTGTACATGCATTCTCAGTCATGTTGTCTGCATCCAGGTCGGCCGGGTTACAGGGGATTGCATCAGTTATGTTGTTGGAGGCTAGTGGTTTTCTGGACTCTCATGTCTATTGAAGAAGCAGGCACATGCCTTCCCTTGCCATGTAATAACAACAACAACACCAACAACAACAACAACTGTTACAGCATGAATGACAACACAACTACACTACCAACCACCACCACCACAACAATAACAAAGCAACCTCAACAACAGCGACAACATCCTCAAAAGCTGTAACAACATCAACAGACATATGTTGCAAATGTATGTGAAGCCTTCAGTAATACAAACAAATGGCAGAGCCTAAGGGGCATGTTGAATAAACTGTTATATATTGATATTAAAAGATACTAAATGTATTCATGTTTACTTTTGTTGATCATCACATATATTTTGACTTTTTGATGTACATTTATGTCATATATATATATATATATATTACTTTTGTTCTACCTCAGTGCTAAGCTCCACCCCTAAAAAAAAACTCCAAAAGTAGAAGACTTTTGTGACATCATTATGCCAGTCATTCGTCAGTCAGCTAGATGAACAAAAGACATTGGTATGTCCCTTCCCATCAACTAACCAACTGTTCACAAAATACGATGGTATGTCCTCACCCACTGTGAAACTTATTGCATTAGCATTGCATGTTTTCATATAGTAGCCCATTTAAACCTTTCTTTTCATGGTGTTGCTTGGGTATTTCTGACATAGCAGCTGCCTAAAATGTAATTGAATTTTGTGAGTAAGCATTGTATAAAAACATGCTATGCTATTATGAACAGGTGGTCAGTTGATGGGAAGGGACATACCAATGTATTTTGTTCATCTAGCTGACTGATGAATGACTGGCATGATGATGTCTCAAATGATTTGCTTTTGGAGGGTTTCTTTTAGGGGTGGAGCTTAGCAGGTAGAGCAAAAGCAATATAAAAAATAATATAAAATATATGACATAAACTTACATTAAAAATTCAAAAGATATGTGATGTATACATTATATAATTACAGATCAACAAAAGTCAACATGAATTTGTAATTTAGTAACCCTTTAACATGGAATGTATGTTCTTATATTGATATAGTTGTTTCTACATGCAAGTCGCCATCTGTACATTGACCCATACATAAGCCCTACATGTGAATTAGTTAATGAACTTTATATTTTAATATGTGATATTCTGGGCTTATGTAGCACTTGATACACCTACGTTGTCTCTAAGTGCTTTACAATGTTTTATGAACCCTGTCATCGGATTCAGACTCGCTCAAACATAAATTCTCTGCATCATACGTTAGCAGCTCTGTAAAGTGTCAGTATAGAATTCTTGTGTACTTTGGTAAATGTTATATACATATTAACTTGGTGGAAGAACTTCTATTATAGGTGTGTCATTGATTTTGACGGTTATTTCAATAAATTATCATATCAAATATTACTGTCTCTGTTTGTTTTTGTTCAGTGCTGCCAGTTATTGATATATCACCAGTGATAGTGAGTACTACGTCCACTACAGTAGGTCTTCGGTGGAACGCATGGTCTGAAGAAGATGACGTAGGTGATTCTCCTCTGGTAGGATATAATTTAATTGTAAAGAAGGATGGTGACTGGGTAACGGATCAGAGAGTAGACCAACCCACAACATCAGCCATAGTTAGTAACCTGACACCCGACACAGAATATAGGTTTCGTGTAGCAGCAGTGAGGGAAGGAACAGGTGGAACAGGGCCCGAGTCTCCTAGGAGTGAAACAATAACTCTCTGTAGAAGTAAGTTATGCTCAGAAGAAAAATAATTGAGTGGGTTGGAGTTATACATTTGTTATCAGGTACATTGTTTTTGCGTTTTAGTAATTGATTTGTACATGTAGATGTACATTTGGGATATTACTACACTTTTCATTGATTGAATGCACTTTCCATTGAAAGTTTTTTTTTTAGTAAAGTCTGTACAAAGAAATGTTTGTATTTTAAATGTTCCATACATTCTTTCTTTTATTTTATTTATCTCTCTAAATTGTGACACCGACAATTTCTTCTACAAAGCATGCGTTTCCCTACAAATTTGTTTATTATACCCTTCATTGTGTTTGGCTCAACAGTAGTTTCATGTTCGACTTTTAATCTAAAACTACATGAAGTGTACCTGCAGAAGCAGTGCATGATTTTACTATGACGTGCATGACCATGTGATGTATTCATCTACTATATAGGTCCAAGTCATTTAGTATCGTGTGTATACTTTAAACCTTCAGAACCCAGTGCTTCTCCAACTGGACTACAAGTTTCAGCCATCAACCCTAAAGAGCTAGAGGTGACATGGGAGGTATGAACTGTTTTAAGAGGAGCTGTTTGGTCGCTTCGTGAAATGCAGTTGGATGAAAAGACTCGTCCAGAGCACAAAATGTATAAATGTTACCAGTCATATTTTTTTATTACATACAGGTAGAACCGCACCGTTATATGTGATATGACGCTGGTAAAAACACTTACAACCTTATTAAGATTTAATTGTACTTATTTTTTCGTCAAGATATGTCAAGATAAACACAAGGTACGATAATACGCCAACGGCGGACTGTACTATACTGGAAGAAGAAGAAGAAGAAGAAGAAATAAGAACTCCTCCACGCCACTGACTACTTGTGAATATTTCTTTACGTACCTCAACTGTTGACTAAATTAAATAGATCTTGTGTAAAAAATCCAAAAAAAATCAAAAGAGTACCAATTTGTTTTGTTTGCTAGTTGCAAGTTAGAGCTGTTGGGTTTATGAAATGGAGTTTTTATTTTATTTTACAGAAGGAAGCAAATATAAATATGTTTTGTAATCAAGAGTTTCTTGTTTAGCAGGACCAGATATCAGCTTCCTTATTAATGCGAAAAACTGTAGATTAAAAAAAAATAAGGTAACGGCTCATAGTTTTGTTCATTAGTGTAAAAAGTAACTTCTTTTACATGGTTATGCTGCATGTAACATGAATTTGCTTTTTAATGTTTCAGCACCTCCCGTCGGAATCAGCAGAATGCAGGAGTGGAGTGACCCATTATATGATCTACTACGCTCCCTCTGGTTCAACTTCTTCAAACTCTATCTTGGTTTTTCGTGACACTAGCTCCTACACGATAAGAGGATTAGATACCTATCTGGAATATACCATTCAATTGACTGCATCAAATAAAGACGAGGAGGGTGACAAAAGCAGTGAGACTATGAGCAAAACACTTGAAGAAGGTTGGTGTTAATCTTAGTATGTATTTTTTTTCGTGAGAGTTAAGGGAGATGTTGCTTGGCTTTTTAAGTGAAAGAGTTAATATTCTTGTAGATATTTTTGTTACAACCTTCGTCCAACATGGTTTGTTTTTTCGGTTAATATTACTTTTGGTTCATTACTATCAGTTTCATCTATACATTTAATTGATCTTGATAGAGAGGGAATCATTCATTCTGCTAGATTGCAAACTGTATGGTCCGAATATTGCTTATTCTTTAAACCCAACTCGAGCACTACAGACCTTGGTATGACTTCTTTGTTAAACTCAATTTCTGAGTATGCTTAATTCTAGCGTCGGGTTAAATGTTAGTGGAGTACGGGCCAGCACGTGAGATATCAGAGGATATCGGGAGCAATGAAATCTGTAAATATATCTTTAGCAGTGTTTGTATACTAAATTACTTTGTCTGCACAATATAGATCATATACATGACTCTTTGATGCATTAGATTACTATTTACCGTATTTATGTCATTACATTTTCAAACCCCATTTTTTTTTTTTTTATACAATTAGTCGCTTTAATTGCAATCGAAATAGATTTTTTTCTTTCTGGAATTAGAAATTGTACTAACCTGTTAAGACAAGAGTAACAAAAGTAATTGATATTCCGGAATATCAATACATAAGTCTACCATATTTCAGCGTGACATTGTTATAAACCTTTTTCTTCTAATCAGTCGCGCCTACTCCTATCAATGTGGCTATACCCCAGAGTACTACAAGCTCCTTCACTGTATCCTGGTCTACCCCTCTACCATCTAACATCAATGGTAACATCCAGAAGTATGTCATCCGCTACAAGCGACCTGATCCAGCTGGTGATGGCAATTATAAGATGGAGGAACTATTGACTGGTGCATTTGATGGACAACATACTGTGATGGACCTGGCCAGTGAAATCAATTATACAGTTCAGGTAAGATGTCTTGATATCAATCCTTAGGACCCAACGTTTAAGGGAATATTCAATCTCTTCATATTTTAGTACAAGCTTTTCCTATTTAGAACATTTTAGTTTGAGCTGTTATCCTAAGCGTTTTTGGAGAAACTATATACTTTGGGATGAAATTACGAAGTGATTCTTTTTTTTTAATTGTGCCATTTATGTAGCAAGCATTCCCCAATTACATGCATGATACTGCATTAAACGAAATTACATTTGAATGCTTTAATAGCATCTAAATACATGTATTTAACTGTTGTTATGCGGTCGCTTATGATAGTTGTATTTTCTCCAGGACATGAATATCTATAATTAAGATTGAAACAATTCTTTTGTGTGTCTTGTGTGTGGACGATGTTTGTATCGCCGTTATTGCTACAACACCATATTCTTATTTTCATGTTTGTCAGGTCCAAACTGTCAATGGAGCTGGTTCTAGCAATTGGTCCGAGCCCGTGAATGCAAAGACTATCCTCTCAGGTAAGAGCATGAAACAAATTAAACTTGTTCTACCCTGAATGTCATACTTAAAAACATTGTGTAGGTAATGTGGTTTTCCAAAGGATGTAAAAGTAAAGTGAATTCGGCATTTTAATTAAGTGTTCCTTTATATTCGTGTGTTCTATATTAGTCCTAGATGCTGCTTGTAAGTGTCGGCTTGCATGTTGATGTAGATATACAGTAGGTTTGCGGGTGCACCATGTGAGAGTGAGAGAGAGAGACGGTTGAGGAGTCCTGAAAAGGACTCTGACTCGGTAATTTTTCTTGGGGTGTGGTAGTCCTGAAAAGGACTGTTTGTTATCTTTCTTAGCATATAGTTCTAAGGAGAACTATAGCGCTTGGAGAGGATGAGTGGCTCGACGTTTCGAACAGGTTGACTATCCGTCGTCAGGAGTGGAGAATGGCTGGCGTGCGTGAGCTTAAGTCACCGGGATGCGGACGTCGGGGAAAAATAGGTGACCATGTTGACTTGAGTCATCGGGGAGTGGGCATGGATGGTCGGCTGGTTGTTCTGACTGTCCGTCTGGGCTGGAGTCTCCGGTTTGCGGAGAGTTTCGAGTCGATGAGTGGGGTGTGCTGTCGGCGAGACGCTGTGTGTATCCCCGACGTAGGTGGCGTTGTAGTCTGTTGTCGTCTGCTGTGTATTAGGGGCTTTTCGTTTGTGTGGACCAGGACGGCGTTCACGTCCTCTAACGATGCAAATTGACGTCAGACACCCGTCCTGTTCACTACCTTATAACCCTTTTCGTTTTAAGTTGACACACGTTCTCTACACGATGACGTAATGGCCCCGCACGCGCTTATTCATTTTCTCCTTCTTTCACTTCTTATTTTGTTCTTCGTTTATTATTCTATTATACTCTCTCTATTTTTCTTATGACATTCTTTGTTTTTCCTTCTTCCATCTTCTCTTCTATCTTTCCATTGTCTATTCTTTATCATTTTCTCTTTCTGTCTTTCCTAATGTTATTGTTGTTGTTATCATTCTATCATTTTTCTTTCTATCTTTCCTCATATTATTCTTTGTTTCTTCCTTCTATCATCTTCTCCTAAGTTATTCTTTGTTTTTATCATTCTATCACTTTCTCTTTTTGTATTTCCTTACGTTATTCTTTGATTTTTCCTTCTTTCACCTTCTCTTTCTGTCTTTCCTTATGTTATTCTTTGTTTTTTCCTTCTTTCACTTTCTCTTCAGTCTTTCCTTATGTTATTCTTTGTTTTTTCCATTCTTTCTGTCTTTCCTTATGTTATTCTTTGTTTTTTTCCTTCTTTCACCTTCTCTTTCTGTCTTTCCTTATGTTATTCTTTGTTTTTTCCCTTCTTTCACCTTCTCTTTCTGTCTTTCCTTATGTTATTCTTTGTTTTTTCCTTCTTTCACCTTCTCTTTCTGTCTTTCCTTATGTTATTCTTTGTTTTTTCCTTCTTTCACTTTCTCTTCAGTCTTTCCTTATGTTATTCTTTGTTTTTTCCCTTCTTTCACCTTCTCTTTCTGTCTTTCCTTATGTTATTCTTTGTTTTTTTCCTTCTTTCACCTTCTCTTTCTGTCTTTCCTTATGTTATTCTTTGTTTTTTCCTTCTTTCACCTTCTCTTTCTGTCTTTCCTTATGTTATTCTTTGTTTTTTCCTTCTTTCATCTTCTCTTTCTGTCTTTCCTTATGTTATTTTTCGTTTCTTCCTTCTTTCATCTTCTCTAATGTTATTCTTTGTTTTTTCCTTCTGTCACCTTCTCTTTCTGTCTTTCCTTATGTTATTCTTTGTTTTTTCCTTCTTTCACCTTTTCTTTCTGTCTTTCCTTATGTTATTCTTTGTTTTTTCCTTCCTTCACTTTCTCTTTCTGTCTTTCCTTATGTTATTCTTTGTTTTTCCCATCTTTCACCTTCTCTTTCTGTCTTTCCTTATGTTATTCTTTGTTTTTTTTCCTTCTTTCACCTTCTCTTTCTGTCTTTTCTTATGTTATTCTTTGTTTTTTCCTTCTTTTACCTTCTCTTTCTGTCTTTGCTTATGTTATTTTTTGTTTTTTCCTTCTGTCACCTTCTCTTTCTGCCTTTCCTTATGTTATTCTTTGTTTTTTCCTTCTTACACTTTCTCTTCAGTCTTTCCTTATGTTATTCTTTGTTTTTTCCCTTCTTTCACCTTCTCTTTCTGTCTTCCCTTATGTTAGCCTTTGTTTTTTCCTTCTATCATCTTCTCTTATGTTATTCTTTGTTTTTATCATTCTATCACACTTTTTTTCTGTCTTTCCTTATGTTATTCTTTGTTTTTTAATCATTCTATCAATTTCTCTTTCTGTTTTTACTTTCTGATTTACGCTGCGATGTAGCAAGATGACGTCATTTTGACGACGGGTCACTAGTTTTCTGACGAACCTCAAATCATCGATGAACGGGTTCGCAAATGTGGCCTGACGACGCCAGACGACCCGACGCATGCGCAGATCGCGGAAATGACGTCACATATTAGACGTCGATTATGTCAACGTGACAAACGAAAACCCCCTATTGTAGCTTTGAGGCTAGCGGCTGCTTTGAGGGTTCGTCGGGTGGCGGTGGTTGATGTACGGGTGTCTGTCGGGGTGGTGAGGGCGGTGCTGGAGGCGGTAGTGGAGGAGGAGTGACCGGGTACTTGTTGATGAGGGGTTTCCAGATGTCGTTGATGTATAGTCCTGAGTCTTAGGGCACGGTGTTGTGGCGGTGAATTTCGATGGCTTCTCGGATTCGGCGTGTATGGCGTGTATGCTTCATTATGGAGATGAGATGACTGTTCGAAACGTCGAGCCACTCATCCTCTCCAAGCGCTATAGTTCTCCTTAGAACTATATGCTAAGAAAGATAACAAACAGTCCTTTTCAGGACTACCACACCCCAAGAAAGATTACCGAGTCGGAGTCCTTTTCAGGACTCCTCAACCCTCTCTCTCTCTCTCACTCTCACACGGTGCACCCGCAAACCTACTGTATATATTAGTCCTGTTCTTTATATGGATGCTTTTATGCGATTTATTTTTCTTTTTTTCATACAAGTGTGCCTTGAGCATTTGATTTCAAGAAAATAACGCGCCTTACAAATCTCATATATTGTTATTAGTCTCTAAATTCTGACGAGCGAAGCGAGTCAGAGAAACCGAGGCGCTTGCGCGGAGGGCCTCTTGACAAGTGATCTGAATTTTTTATGTTTTACTATGTTTGGCGAATATTCCGACCCAGCAGAGTTCGGTGAAAGTCATCCAATCAGAGAGAGCTACTATGACGTAATATCTACCGCTCTGTGCGAATTCCCTCCGTGAGAGCGAGACTGGCCGCATAGTTGTAGTCTGCAAGCACAAACCCTGGTCAGTCGTAAAAGAGAGTGTGCACTATAAGACTACCATATGCCACGTACTATAGATGCTCCTGACATATATTGGTACAACCAGTAGGTACCAGTAGATAGCTGGGCTAGGCTTCTCTCAAGGCACAATGATTTTTTGATAAAGTGTCAAATTAGGGTCTGTGCTTGCAGACTAGCCTAGTTGGGCAATCCCGAACACACACGTACACACACACAATCGCTGCGGTCTAGACATGCATAATTCAGTAGGAAATCGGGTCTCATGAATATATAATTCAGATCACTTGTCAAGAGGCCCTCCGCGCAAGCGCCTCGGTTTCTCTGACTCGCTTCGCTCGTCAGAATTTAGAGACTCCAACAGCGCGAGGGCATCGACAAGAGGCTAGCTACATGTCAAACTAAAGTCAGTTTGTAACCTTCATAAATATGTATATAAGTTTGTAGCTTATCAGCGTTGTTTACATATTCATCCTAATATTACTCCTTTATTCTTTGTTTGATTGGCTGAGAAAGTTGAATAGTCTGCATTAATCATGTATAGTTTAATATAAGGAGAAATGGAATGTATACATTTTTCTAAAACATTTCTTTGTTACAAGTTTTTGTGAAACTTTATGAAACGATAAGAAAAGTTGTGATTTATGAGAGTAAACATAATCTACACTGTTGCTCATAAAGTTGGAATATTATTTTTTTACCCCATTTTACGGAGTTATTTTGACAATGATTTATTCCTAATAGATCTAGAAAATAGTATACATTCTCAGATTTTATTGAATAATAATTTGCCAGTGTTTGTTTTGCGTGACTGCTAAATCATGTGTATGCTACTATGCTTATCAACTAGGGGACCTATGCCCTTAAAGTAAAAAATGACAGTAATGAGGATTAATGCCCCACAAAAGGGCACTTATATAGTCGACACGGTTTTGATCCTGGGGCCTCACAGTTACGAGGCTATTGCTTTGCCACTGAACCATGAATGTACGCAGTGGGGGGGGGGGGGGAGGGTAGGGGGCAGTTCCCACAAAAAAGTGCAATAAATTATCAATAATTCATTGAATTTCCCCCCGGTCCCCAACAGAAAAAAAATATTTTGTGTGCCCATGCTTTGAGCCATAAAGCATGGCCGTACAGAGGATTTTGTTATGTTGGGGACCGGGGTAAAATGCAATAATTTATTGTGTTGTCGTTAAAGGCTGCAATAGCGAATATTTACATGTTCAAACTTGGGTACCGCATAAATCATTCCTCGACCCTCTCATTGTTTGTTTATTTATTGATGATGCGTGTAATTTGAAGCTGCATTCACGCTCAAAAAGATATGTTTATGTAGATGATACATTTATATTTAATAATGATGTTAATTTTACTCAAGTTAAGATTAATTTACAAGATGATTATGATCTTATTGATAAATGGTTTGAAATTAATGGTATGCATATACACCCGGATAAAACAGAGGTCAGTGATTTTGGCTCTAAAAGAAAATTGTCTAATAAAGTTTTGTCAGTGAAATATCGAGATAAATTGATTAAATATGTTGATACTACAAAATATTTGGGAGTGACATTATACTCACAGTTGTCAAGGTCAAATCCTATTTCAAATGTTTGTAGTAAAATATCACGCTCTATTGGATATATACGGCGTATAAATAATGGGTAATTGTTAATCTGCATTACTCCCTTTTATACCTTATATTGACTACTGCTGTACAGCATGGGGAGGGTGCTCAAAGAATTGAGTATCAGTATTTTGTCCTCACATTTAAAGTCTTACGAAAACATTTTCATTGTACATGGAATCGTTGGTCACTAGACGCCAAACCCAAGAAATGTCAAGTAGTTATGAATGTGTTATAATCACATGGTTGTAAACGTATATATCACCTGTTTAGTTTTTTCTTTACTTGTGTAACTCTCGCAATGTTATTGTTTATATTTGTCAATTATCATTTGTATATTGATATATTCTAATATTTCATGTTAGACTTCTTTCTTCTTTTTTTTTTTTTTTTTTTTTTTTGGGGGGGGGGGGGGGGGGTTCGTGTATTTGTATGTTGCAGCAGGGCGTCATTGTAAAGTATTTTTTTAACTGAATGACCTACCCTGCTCGATAAAATAGACACGAATAAATAAATGAATAAACAAAATCAAGAAAAGCTTTGTAAAACGGACCAACAAAATGTATACCTCATTACAGCATAATTACATGTATGTGATTTTTGTTTGTGCTAAAGGTGATGATAGTGGTACCAGGAGAACACTAGGGGTTGTGATAGGGGGTGTGATAGTACCCATTGTTCTCATCGCAATACTACTAATTACTTTGGTGATGTATAGAAGGTAAGTTAACTCAACTACAGTAGAACAATTAAAAGTAAAATCCATGCCACTAAATGGTAACATTTTTACAAATATAGATATGAATTTATTTATCTAAAGGGAGCCAAAACGATAATTGATAAAGCGATTGCAGGATTATCCTATTCTAAAGGCCCTTAAAATACAGCATATTCATACAATGAATGTTTTATAATGATTTTGTTTTAAATGTTATAAGGAACATCCACAAATGACAATCATACGCAGTGAGCTGTTCTGCTCATCAGGGACCATTCCCACCTCACTTTTATCTGAACTTTGTGTGCGTGTGGGTGTGTGTGTGTGCGCGCGCGTGTGTGTGCGCGCGCGTGTGTGTGTGTTAATGTGCGTGCGCGTGTGCGTGTGTACCTGAATCTCAATGGTATTACAAAGAAGGAGGAACTTAATGCGTTTTTATTATTGAATTTCACTTCCAGGATCAAACAAAGACGTTTAGAGACTGAACCAGCCGCGTCCCCACCAAACAATGCACGTGAGACCTCATCAAAGTATGAGAACCCTGTATTTGATGACTCGAAGCAAGACCCCAATACCTACGAAGACCCGAATGCTGATACCCATGTCTACCAAGATCTCAATACAGATACCCCAAACTACCAGAATCTTACCGACCCCCATACGTATCAAGATCTAAAGAAACCCAACACCGACGTTACCTATCTAGAACCCATAACATCAGATCCAGGAGACACTTACGAAGAAATATAGAGGGAGCTCTAGCGTGGCAGAGGCTTGGGTATGGTGCCAGCAGGATACATGCTGGATCAACAATAATGAACATGTTATGCAATACACAGAGTTGGTAATATTTATCATGGTGCTCATACTACCTTACTATGTGCTCATACTACGGTAGTACACTATTTCAATTGTTGCTTCCAAGAATTATAACGAAACTTAAACAGCTACTTTCAAAATGTTATAGAAACAGTAAATATCTTATGTGGTTTTTATATCCTGGTACTTGGTTAGGTAATCCCTTTGGCAGCTCACTCAGGAAGCTATACTGGGATGGTAGGTGATCATGAGGCGAGTAACTACAATATCACTTCTAGTTTGTAAACTAAGGGATGAAAGGGTAAATATACATCTAAATCCGTCAAAGTAACTGTCATTTACAATGCAAAAATGCCACTTTTCACTGATTCAATATTTGTGTACAATAATCTTTTTTATCTGTTTTTCACTTCAAGCTGTGTAACATTTCTTATCGTCAGGTGATAGATATGTTTTGTACAGATTGGTTAAACGTGTAGATTATATAGATTTATTCAGAATCTTGAGCCGAAGGCAGGATAAATATCTTGTTGTAAACTTGTGTAAGAATATATATTATTCAGTTTTAAGGTCTATTACCCGCCAGCACCATTGTCGAAAAAATCAGTATGATTTCTTTAAAACACGTCGGTCACCCTTTTGCCAAGGTAACGCATGGATAAATGCATGTTGGCAGTTTAGCCATCGCTTGGTTTCTTCACCTTTCTGCCAGTCACCCGTTTGCCACACGTGCAATTTTGCACAAATCAATAGGCACCAATTTGCGGAATCATTACTTTGTGCAACACAATCCGGCGCTTCGTAAAATAAACTAATTTCTGGTAATGATTAGCTCCGTGGCAACCATTTTAATACAGGTACAGATTAATGTTACACTGCAACTGTTAAATTCCTGAAGTGGAGCAGGGGTTTAATTGTGTTGCATAAAAAGAGTTAACTCGTGAAATAAGCTGTGATAAATAAATAAATGCAAAGTGACACCTGGACTTTTCAGGGTTTTATTTTCAAGAGGGGGTGCCGAAGTCTGCCATTATCCCTCCCAACTTCAGAATACTCCGACCAGCCTGAAATAGTAATTGAATGCAGGTAGTTCATTTGTTCTGAAGATCAAGATATCTTTCTCTTTCTTTCTCTCTCTCTCCCCCTCTTTCTCTCTCTCTCTCTCTCTCTTTCTCTCTCTTTCTCTCTTTCCTTCTCTCTCTCTCTTTCTCTCTCTTTCTCTTTTTCCTTCTCTCTCTCTGTCTCTCTCGCTCTGTCTCTCTCGCTCTTTCTCTCTCTCTTTCTCTCTCTCTCTCCCCCCATCTCACTCTCTTTATCTCTGTATCTCATGTCGGTCACTCCGTCTATGATGGATGTATAAGTATTTTAGGTGAACAAAGAGCTTGGAAAATTTCGTTTAAATATTGGATCCAGAAAATTGGGGATTTGCCTCTTTGTTTGCATTTTGATTGCAAAAAAGAGCGATTTGTATCGTATTTGTAAAAAAACAGTTGCCGAACTTTTATGTCGACATGTTTTGTTCCTGGGCTGAATTAAAATATATTGATATGTTTAAAGTAACAGATATTGAAAATGAAATGATTTTGTATAATAGTAATAATGATGCAATTTTAAAATCGGGAATGAGTTATTGCATTTTCAAAACTGGATACGAAATAATATTCTGAAAGTGAAACAAGTCTTAGTAAACAGTAATTGGAAAGAAGTTGATTCCATTTATATTAATTTTCAAGAAAAGGGGAATTTCTTTCCGCCTTTTAATTGGCAAAGTTAAAAGGTGAATTTCCGATTTGTTGATCGAAGAAGTTACGTAATAGGATAATATATGTAAAGAGTTCACCGTCCTCAATGGAATCCAGTACAATAGATATGGTAACAGGTGACTCCATTGATGCAGCGTTATGATTAGATGTTAGAAAAACAAAAACAGGATCTGGCGTGCATTTATTTTTGGAACGCTTATTGTGATTTACCTAAACAGTTTCACTGAAAGATGGTGCTTCATTATAAATTTTACTTTATAAATGACAACAGGATTAAGCAGTTCATTTGTTCATAGAATATTACACAGTAAAGACAATTTATATCAATGGAAGATTTGGAATAACAATCTTTGTGATATCTGTAATATACTCACCACCTTTTCCTGATTTCTAAGAAGGTTTCGCTTTGTTCTGGAAGATTGTATCCAAATCAATCAATACTTTGTTTAATTAAAGAATCGTTTTGAACGAAAATAATTATTTTAATAGGTCATGAAATAGAGAGGAGAGAAATTAATCTTGTCAATCTTATTATAAACTTTGCTCAGTTTATTATCTATAGAAACTTTATTAGAGAATGTTTTGGAAGTGAATAGCACAGGATACGTGCCATATTTGATAAAAGAATTAAAGGTAGAAATTGGTACCTCTCTCAAAATGAAGTGTAATCAAGAGCAATTCGATACAAACGAAATAACTTAAATATTTCATTATTTTAGTTACAGATTATATCACATTAGTTTCATGATTTGTACTTTAAAATTAATGATATGTTTCAATTGCATGAATTCTGTGCATACAAACTGTTGTAAATAGTTGTTATTATTTGATATAAACAAATAAAGTACCTCGAAAGAGGATAAATAGAACAAAAATCTCTGTATCTCACTCCCTTCCACCATGTACTTTATCCCCTATCACCTATCCCTCATCTCTTTCTTTCTCTCTTTCTCTCTCTCTCTCTCTCTCTCTCTCTCACCTTCACGTGCATCAAACACTTCATCAAATTTAGGACTACGCCCTTCCTATAATTTGTGTGCCAGAGTTGGTAAAAGAAAAATTAGATCCTGACAAAAACTTTTAGGATAACGCGCTAAATTGTGCATGTTTTAATGTTCCGTTATTTAATCCATGATTTATAATCTTCGATAACTTTAAGTTTGCTAATGCGTGTTTTCGCGTGTTTTTTGTATTTTTGCAGTTGGAAAAAAGGATGAAATTACACAAGTTTGTGTGCGCTTGCTTTACTCATTAAACATTCAAAAAATGGATGAGATATCATTGATAGGGACAGCGAACATTTGCTGGGATACCATTTTTGGATGGAGGAATTCTAAATCCTGATATTTCATGCGCTCTTTTATCTCACCACCTGGTCAACAGTTGCAGATTAGCGCATAACTTTTCGGCGGCTTGGAGCAAGGGGTCAAAGGAGAGCAGATAGATTCCACTCCTTCTCTTTCACCAAACTATATCTTAGAAATTAAATTCATTTTATTGTTTCGCATGATTTATTAGTAATATAACCACACATCCCATTGTTACGCTTTAGAACTCACGCATACGTTTGAATAAATTACAAGACTTTCCACTCCTTCTCTATCATCTCCCTGCCTTAAAAGTGGAAGCGCGATGGCTCAGTGGTAGAGTAGTAGTTTCGTGATCGAGAGGTCCCAGGTTCGAAACCGGGTCGGAGCGCTATAGTGCCCTTCAGTAAGGCATTAATCCTCCTATACCAAGTCTCTCGGAGAGGACATATACAACAGCCGATCCTTTGGTTCCTTATACTTATGCCTAGTTCACACCGACGCCGAATGTCGCGCTTTAAATCGGCGATCAATTCGGCGTCACTTTTCAAAAAATCTCACGATCTCCTAAGATATGTTATGCTAAGTTCACACCGACGCCGAATTGATGGCGAATTAAATCGGCGAACAAAGCGGCGGCAAAGCGTAACAAAGCTTAATTAAAGCGTAAAGACCGTAATAGAGCGTGAGAAAGCTTTGAGCAATTCGGGACATTCGGCAAGAGCGCCAAAAATGTAAACTCTGTTAAGCTTTCTTACGCTTTGAGCAAAACTTTGATAAGCTTTGTGACGCTTTGATAAGCTTTAATACGCTCTCCCCGCTTTACGCAATTCGTGACAGATCGCCTCAAATTTTTAAACAGTTTACAAAAATTTGGCGCTCTTGCCGAATGTCCCGAATTGCTCAAAGCTTTCTCACGCTCTATTACGGTCTTTACGCTTTAATTAAGCTTTGTTACGCTTTGCCGCCGCTTTGCTCGCCGATTTAATTCGCCATCAATTCGGCGTCAGTGTGAACTTAGCATTACTAGCATACAAATAATGTTTTTTTAACAGGCAGTTTAAACATAGAAACAAAAAACGCTTCCTGAAATCTCATAGATTGAAACGATTTTTCTCGTTAGGTCTCTAACTCTCTCTCTCTCTCTCTCTCTCTCTTTCTTCGTCTTTACTTCCTTCTCTCTCCCGTCCTTTTCTTTTTCTCCTCAGGTTTTCTTTTCCTCTGTACACTCACATGTAGGACTTTTGCTTTCGATTTGCGAGGTGCCACAATCACATCAACACTTCTTCGGGTTTTCTAAACTGTTGTGATATTATTTTGTTCTATATAAAGAGGTTTACACTTTGGGCAATGATGGTGCAAATTTTCTGCCACAGTCCACTGTGGTGAGCTGTGTCGCAGATATTAAATAACCCATACACACTGTACTTCATATTTTATTTTGGAATAGAAGTGTTTTTTTTCTCCAAGTTTTCCACCAAAATTCAGCAAAAAGCATGCCTATATAGAACATTGTTCCTGCAAGTGTATGTCACTATATAGTGGAACGATACAGTTCCATTCAATACTTCTTGTCAGAACCAAAACTAACAGCATCGCTTTGCCTCGTTCCTCATGATCCAATATTATGTTGTTAGGCCTTTAGTTTGTTCAATAGTCATTCAATGAATGTTGTCATGTTGGGAAAACCCCCAATTTATGATCCCATACGAGAATATTATAGAGGACCTGGTGTGCTTAACATTATAACGACTATTAGTGAATTACTCCATTGAGATAATAATCTCTGACCGTTTCATTGGGTCAGACTCGTCTCATATAGTAAGATTTATGGCCACGTAATACGTATATATGCCCTTATATTTATACCTAGATGACGAAATTAGCATTTCAACATAATTTTGTTTAAAGTTATTTTTTGCTCGCTTTCAAATTTTGACTTTGGAAAGTTGGTACATGTAGCCTATTTAGGTTTAGGCTTTTCGGGCAGGAAAGCGGGATATGAACTAACTGTGATGCCTTTCAGATCGATTTTCCTTTTCGATTGCGTCATTACTTGCGCTACTCAAGCTGGCAAAGGCAATCACTGTATACGTCAATATGTCCAAAGAAAGGTTTGCATTGCCCATTTTTTATTAACGTTATGTGTATCACTCTCACATGGTGACGCATCCCAAGCCACGCGTTTCCCTGACGGACGCAATATGTCATGGTCCCTGACGCATTCGTACGTCAGTCAGTCAATGAACTTTCAAATCGTATGTACATCATGATGTGATTAAAAGAATACGATCGCAACTATTTTCAAAAGATCGAATCAACGGAAAATGTCATATACCTACCCTATTATACATCTCAACAAAATC